TTTGATGTCATTGTTGCTTGCCGCACACCATTCCCTTAAATAAATAATGAGATACAGACGACCGAGACGGCTGAGTAATATGCGCAAATATGATAAAAGAAATAGAGAAGAGAATGAACAGCAATTAAATCAAACGGAACACACAAATGAAATTAACAGAACATGAAAATGGAAATGAGTACAGAGCGAACAATCACACTACCGCTCTCTCACTCTCAGAGAGTGGGCGGTGGGAGCTGGTAGTATTAGTGCCTTGCGCTCCTTTACACCCGCATAGCGCACGCACTGCAACACTAATACAGATGCAGGCGGGAATAGCTGTGCATAATGCTGACTCACTCGCACATGTGCCGCACTGACTGTTGCTGCCACTGCCGCTTGGCAGGGGGCGCTGCCACCACCACCACCACCACCACAACAACAACAACATCAGCAGCAGCAATGGAAAGACAGTGAGTGAGTGTGTGAGTGAAAGAGAGAAGGCGCGCGGCAAAGAGGCCGAGCGCGCGTACGCCGTGATGAGCGAGCGCATGGCCACAAAAATGATCGCACAACACTTTCAAGTACAACGCCAAAGCAAGCAGCAAGCAGCAACTGCCGGAGGGGCCGAACAACTAGCAGCCGAACCGAGCCGCCCGCACGCCGCATAAATAATTACAATAAATTCAATAATTATTCAATTAATTCAATAAATAATCTAAACGTCTTCTTAACACTTTGGTAACAAGTAAAACACTATTTTTATTTAATTTAAATTAAGTAAAATTTTAGTGATTTTCAATTACATAAATTAAATTACAACAAAAACAACGGCAACTGAAATCGCAAAAACAAAAAACGTGTTGCGGAAGTTGGCCAAATACGCAAATTTTCCCTTGCTCAATTTTTAACGCGCGACTGAAAATTGAGAAAAGCGAAGAGAGAGAGATAGAGAAACCGTATTAAATCATCAGTAAAAATAGATAAAAGACTCAAAGCTAACGGTACCATGAGCACAGCTGTTTGAACAATATCAACAAAAGAGAAAAACAACACGCACCAAATCACACAACAACAAAAATTAAAAGCCGCAACTTATAATTAATATGTACGAGAAAACATTAACAATAGGAACTGCAAAAGTTAATAATGCATATGAGTGGAAAAAAGTGAGTTACAGCAAAAATCAATCGACATCGACAGCGAAGGCGGCAGCGGCAACGGCATCGGCATCGGCGTCGGTGGCTAAAAGCAAACAAAAGAATAAAATAACATTAACAAAGACTGCAAAAAATTCAACAGAAATACAAATAAAACAAACTAATTTGAGCCATAACAAATCAACAACAACAAATTCAACAACAAAAGTTTTAACGTGTCTTAAGCCGGCAACGCAGACGCCGCTTATTAAAAGATACGTTGGCAACGCGGCACGTCGTCAAACGCTTGCGCATCAAATAAAGCGGGCTCACCGCCATCTATTGACGAGCGGCGGCAACGATAAGCAACCGCCAAAACAACAAAAGCGTAATAATAAACAAATTTGTACATTAAAAGACCATCATTTGTATAGAATGCAGAGCATTTTCCGGGTTTTTCGGACTGTTATGCTTCACATTCTATGCAAAATGAAAACAAGTGCACAAGGCAAATGTAGTTGTTTTTTGTTGGAAACTTTGTCTTTTGCACTTGTCTGGTCACACTTTTTCTCAGTTATCGATATTGGTATTTACAAATCAGCTGATTTGCACGATATTTGTACCGACACTATCGATATCGATATATAGTAATATCAACAATTCCATATAAAGCAGGTAGCAGCGCAGCTGCTGCAGGACAGCAGACAAAAACAACAAAACAGCAGCAGCAACAGCAGCGCAACAGACGCATAATTAATGCAAATAAACAGTCCCAAAGCCACAAAAGTGAACAACAGAAACACAAGCCTAAAAAGCAATCAAATAGCAAGCGTGGCAAGAACGGCTCCGACGGCTACAAATCGGAGCTTTCCTCCCGCTGGGGCTCCATCGAGGAGCAGCTGAATGTGCTCGATAAACTACTCTACTACGATGAAAATGCGGAGCTTTATCTAGCCCAGCTCTACAATAATTATCAGCAGTTGCAGCGATCGCAATCGGAGGTATCGGACGACTGGAGTTGGAGTGATTCTGACTCAGAAATGTCACAGGGCAACAGCGTCGACGACGATGCGTTGTCCAGCACCAGTGGTGCGGGCAGCCACAGCACCATTAATTCGAATTCCAATGCCTCGTCCCTTGTGCCGTCTTCGCTCAAGAGACGCGGCCACCAGCATCATCCACGCTTCGCCGGCACAAGGCGCCCCAACGTGCCCAATGTGCAGGAAATCTTGGCCGCTCTCTATCGCGGTGACTCCAAGGGCGTGCTATCCAATCTACGTGGCGAAACGACACCGCAGACGGAGCCCCCAACAGAGGAGCAGCCAGTTGCTAGTCGCAGCACGCTCAGCCTTCCTCTGAGTGAATCTGTGACAAATTCTCTGGGCAGCAACAGTCCCACACCAACCGATGAGAGCAGCATGCTGGACGAGACAATTCCAGCAGTGACGCCAGCAGCAGCAGTTGCAGCTGAACCAGACGCTCTCTCTGCTGCCAGTGGCAAAAAGAAGAAGAAGCGTGACAAAGGCGACAAAGAGAAATCCGAGCGCAAAAAGAAATCCTCTTCAGGCATCAGCGGCAAGCGTGAGAAAAGCAAGCGTCAAGGTGGCAGCGGCGGCATAATGGATGTGAGCAGCGACAGCATTGCAACAGATCTCAGTGCGGGGGCCATTGATGAGGGCATTGTACTAAACCCTGAGGATGAGGACTCACAAGCTCAGGAATGGGCGAAGCTGCGTTGCACCAGTGAAGCGGCAGAGATTGTGGCCGAACGGGAGGCGCGACGCAACAAAGGACGTTGCGCTGACTATCCGGGCCTGGCGTTCGGACGCTCCATCTTCAGCTCCGACACCATGATGAAGTTCAACATCATTCGAAACGAGCTGCACAACATTATGAACACGCAGCTAAAGCGGGTAATTAAATGTGGGCAGCCTAATTCATAAACACTGACTATACTTCATTTATTTGCACTAATCATATTTTTTATCTCTTTCTTCAAGCCGCCTTTGTTGTCGCCTCTGCCAGAAAGCGTAAAAAAAGACAAAGCTGTGCAGAAAGTTTGGTTAGGTTCAGAGTGAATTCTGTCTATTCTATCTATGAATGCTCCAAATTTGTTCTTTTTGTTCTCTTTTTCGCACACACACATACCCACATGTGTATTTGTATGCGTGAATTTGTGTGCATTGCAAAGCGATTACGTCGCCGTCTTCGTTTAGCTTTCTTCGACGTTCGCCGAATTCCGTTTCTGCTTTAACCCTTCGCTGGCCCGTCAAATCGTTTGTCATTGCAATTGTTCGCAAGTTGTATAAAATCTTGACCCCATTTACGCATACATATATACATACATATGTACAGATGTACGTATGCACATTCTGTGGGTTAATCGCTCAACAACTGTCGTGAAGGTTTTTCTTTCTATATGTACATAAACACATACGCACATTTGCTTTCTTATTGCTCAGCACAAAAGCATTTCAACTGTTTATCTAGCTAAAGCAGAAACATTCCTATTTACTTAATTGCAAACAATTGTTTAATTAGTTACGCAATTGCGCGCTCCAGCATTTGGTACATTGTTCGGCCGGTTAACGGTAAACTTGACGAGCACCTGTTGCACTCACTCTCGCTCTGTGGGCGTCACTCGCACTCGCGCTGCCTCTCCCAAAAAGGTAGCAGATAACAAAACAGACCAAATGTTACAACTGCTACAATTATCTGTGCTTATGCACACTCGTGTACCCGCACACACACCCGCACACACATACATACATTCATTTAGTTGTGGAACTCCATAAAAAGCAACAGTTGATTTACAGCAGCTAAAAAAAAATTAAACGAATACGTTTTGTAGCCAAAAATGTATTTCTTTTCAAACATGGCCCGACAATTATTATTTATATTAAATTAAACGTATTCTCAGTTTTCTACGTGTTCTCATAACCGCTGCAAAACGCCAATGACCTTCGTTTTACGTGTGTGTGTGTGTGTGTACATGTACCCCACTATGGTAGTGTGTGTTCATTTATGTGGCACTGACGTTTACTTTTAATTTCTTTTCAATGCCGCACAGTTACCAAAAATGGGCAGGCATGCTTATTTTAATTAAAATTGACCATTGGCAATCATCGTTTGTATTATCAACAATTATGTCATTTGCCAAATACAAATCGCATTTCCACTTGTTGCTTGCGCGCGCCCCCTGTCTACCTATCGGTATCGATATCGAGCTTTGTACAATCGTCAACTGTCTCGGACTAGGACCACATGCGAACGCTCAGCAACAGCAACAACTACAACCTGATACGAACAATACTCGGTGTCGCAGCGACCAATGATTAGTCATTTGTGCTGCTCCTGCTTGCGTGTTGATAAGCCTGATAGAGCACCGGCATTATATGCCGTATTATACAATTATCTTGTTTGTGGGCTAGGGTAGGTGGTGAGTGGCGAGCGGGGAGGATTCAGACTCACACACATGCACATGTACTTTTGATGACAGGTCGCTTACTCATTTTTACTGGCGTATGGGCAATTGGCCAGTCGTCATTTTCGCTCGCAATTTTGCATAATATTAATTGTATTGGAGAAATAAGGCAAAAATCTCAAATATTTCTTCACTAATTAATGCAAACAACAACAAACATGTAGACTGAATTTTTAGCGGCTTTAACAGGTTTTCCAGCGGGAAAGCCGCATATACACACTGGTTAGCGCACTCGCACTCACACACATGTAGATATGAGCGACACGACACGACACATAGGCGAGGCACTGCCAGACTGGAAAGTCTCACACACACATACAGCAGTTGTCTCTTTCGCACAACGTATAAACCACCACCGCCGCTTTGTAGACATGAGCATGCAAAGTGTTTCAGCGGTTCATTTCCAGTTACGTACTCACAAATGCCAGTCGCAGAATCGCGTCGTTTTATCGTCTTCGTTTCTCCGTGTGTGTGTGTAGTTTCTGTGCAGCTTTCTGCAATTAAATATTAATATTAATATTGTTTTAATATATAAAATTATTATTCAACTATAAATGTGTATCAAGTGTGCTCGAATCTAATCGGCCCTTCACACAAAATAAAAAAAATACTACAGGCAGCAGAGCAGCAGCAGCAACGAAGCAAACCAGTAAAAGAAGAGAAAAGCAGTAGAAGAGAAAGAAGAAAAAAAAAAAACCGGTGGTTAGCGCATACTCTTGTCTGTGTCGTCGCTTCGTTCGGTCGTTCGTTCTATTACGTGCGTGTGTTGGTGTTTCACAGTTTATAAATTAAATATATTCTGGTGCTGCCATATCGAAAGAAATTTGTATTTTGAATAAATACAAAAAATAAGAGGCAAAAGCCAATACAAGTGTGCTTCAGTGCCAACTGCCAATCGCCGGTCAAAAAAGCGATCCTCATCTGCCACTGCCTGCCAACGCAAAGTCCAATTGTAAACACTTACCACAAACACCCACAAGTCCAAAAAACAAGCACAAAAATGACGACCAGCATTCCACAAGGTACACTTTTGGATGTACTCAAGAAGAAAATGCGTCAGACCAAAGAAGAAATGGAAAAGTATAAAGATGAATGCGAGGAATTTCACAAGAGACTACAACTTGAAGTTGTTCGACGTGAAGAAGTAAGCAATCGGCAACATTACAATTCAGTTAAAAAAAAAAAAAAACTATATAGATCAGTTTGCTGCTACTTTTGGTATAAACATTTTGCATCAAAGCTGAGCCATCGCTCAAGATTAGTCCAGCGCAAGCATTTCTTCGCTCTTCGGTCTTCGTTCTGAGCAGTGCCAACGTTTCCAATGCAAATACATGCTCATGAACACAGACACTGTGCCTGACATACAAACACAAATACTGATGCAAGTTCACTGACAGACTGTCACAGACAAATACACGCTCTCATTCTTTGCGCGCTCATTGCGCTGCTCTCTCGATCCCTCTCTCTCGCTCTCTGTCTTGCCACATTTATGTTGTTTTGTTCCTCCATGGGTTTGCTGTCTTTTTTATTGGACTATCTTTTGTTATGAATTTCAATTTGTAATATGTACGTACATATACATATATGTTTATATATACGCAGAGTGCGCTTCTGTTTAATTTGATCTCAGTTCAGATTTTGTACGTTCTAAGCTAATATGAATTGAGTGACCAAAATTCATTCACCTTTCAAAATCTAATCGAAGAACGGGGCACAAACCCGGACAGCATTTCATTAGCATATCAGAAGAAAAAGCAATCTATTCAGTGAAAATTTAAACTTAAAAGAACTGAAACCGGCTTCTCTATTCAGTTCAAAGCCACAGCGTATAGTTAGCGGTGTTCTAAATTCGATTAATTATAATTTTAAGCTACGGCCAACAAATTGTCTTCTTGAAATGTTTGAGTGTGTGTGCGATTTTTTGGCGCAAGCTAAATGTGCGCTTAATTCAATTCTAATTAGTCAATTACGCAAGATAACCCTATATGTATACATATACATTTGTATATTTTATATATGTATAGACATATTTGTATTAGTGAATTCAAAGTTTGTATCGCAGTAATGACAACATTGTTGACGTCATTTTGTATGAAGAAGTTTTCAGTTGTTTCTCATAGTCCTTCGATCGTGTACTGTTAAAATTCCTAAAACTGTAACGGCACTCCCCGAAAATCAAAATGTATTTTCAGTTTGAGCATTCCCATTCCCATTTTGTCTGTCATCTATGCCCCGTTAGTTGCTAGTTTTTGCGCTCATTTTTCCACGCTTTTGTCAAGTGATTGACGTTTAGTTCAGCCCCTTCGCCTGCTAGTTGCACAAAAGCTGAAACAAAAAACATAATGTGCTTTGTTGTTTTAATTTTTATAGACAATGCTTTCAATGTCATTTGCGTGGCCCCAGCAGCAGTTCATTCTCTCTCTCTCTCTCTCTCTACCCGTCACGCATTCTCTTCCTTTTTGCTGTTACGAAATTGAGCACTGATAATTCAATGCCTTATTGTGACAAATTGGTTTTGATTTGTTGCCTTTTGGACAAGTACTCTCTTCCTCTCTCACTCTGTCTTTCTCTTCTATTACATTTCGTAATTTCGTCAACAGTCACATACAGTTTGAGATTACAACACACGACCAGGCAGATGTGCATGACAGTAGCTACATGCTATAAAACTCTAGTATATTTTATGCTTGAGAGATCGCTACTTTTACGCTTTACAAGTTTGGAAGTGGTTTGCTTACAATTTTTATGGCTTATTTTCGGGCTCATAATTAAAAATGCATCATATATAACATTTAAACACACCCTACGCACTCGAACGTAGCCTCTCGTCTCTTGTGTTATTGTTTTTTGTGTTGTTGTTATTGTTTTTGTTATATATATATATTTTTTTTTGGTTTCGTTGCCACAGCAATTCGAGTCAAATAAAAAATTCAAGGTGTGTGTGACTAAGCCGTCAACAATTTTTTTTGTACAATTTCTCTGCTATGCAGCTTTTGCATACTCATGGCTTTTATTATTTGTTTTTTATTTTTCCTTGTCCGTTTTGCCGGCAATTTTTTGCCATTCCTCACCCCGAAACTTGTTCTGTTTAGCTTTGCATTTCTTTTCGAGGCGTTTAATCTTCAATACGTTTTGTTAATGAGTTCAAAGCAAAGACCAAAAATTTGCTTAGGTCCATCTCTGTCGCACACACTTAACGTGCGCGACTCCCGCTATTTTTAAACGAAACGAAACTCAAGCTGAGTATATTTTTTTTGGCATTTTTTTTTCGCTGTTGCTTCATCAACGGTTTTGTTGTGTGACTTTCGTATGTGTTTTGGAAAGCTGCGCTGTTTGCCCCTATACGATTTTTTATCGTTAAGTTTACGCTACACACATGCTATGTATGTATATAGATATATATATGTGTGTGTGTACTTTGTATGCTGCCTGTCTATCGACTGTTTGGACGATGACGTAAGCTACAGCGGCGGCGCGGTTGGTTTTGGTTCCAATTCATAATCACACGATACTTTTACGACGCGCGTCCGCAGCGTTCTAAGCGTCACTCATACAACCCTATGTATGTGTGTATGTATGTATGTTTGTTTGTTTTATTTGTATTTGTGTATTGCAGTGTATTGAAAAATTGGCAAATAATCATCCCGCGTCGACTGGACCTGGACTACCTTGTCCAATTGTGGCCGCTTTTGGTCAAAGCCGTTTTTAACCATTTTTGGGCGTGTGCTGCGAGCTGAGCTGAGCTGCACAAACATTTAATTCATTTGTGCTTTTCAACATTTGTCTACCCATCTCTCTTTTGCTCTCCCTCTCTGTCTTTCCCTCTCGTATTCTGTAAAAGGCAATCAAATGCGACGGCGTCAATGTCAAATATTTTCCGTTCTTTAATGGGCATATGTTTATTGCTTCGTTTTGTGTGTTTTGGAAAATACGGCTGGTGGGAAAAACTGGCCGCTAAAGATTGCAATCGAAATTTTTGGCAAGGTTGTTGTTCCATATGTGTTGACGTCATGCACATGCTTTGATTAGCTGTTGCCTATTTTCCTGAGCTGGCAACTTGAGACAAGTGTAATCGATATATGGAACCCCCTAATTATTGGCCAAAACAGAAACCTTGACAGGCTTCGTGCTGTTGAACTGTTATCGATAGCACACGCAAACAAACATTTTATTGCTAGCTTTAGGGCGTTAACACCGGCGACCTTGTTAAAATGGTAAGGCCGACGCTTACTCAGGCGAATGGGGCGACAAAAAGGAGGCAGAAAAAAAGGAAGAAGAAAAAGATATCTCTAATTTCAGATGGAGCAAAAGCTGCGGTCGCAAACAGTTGAATTTTAAATAGTTATTAAAATATGGAGACTTTTATTTTTATTATGAGAGAGCGCTAAAGTTAGGAGAGAAACTTTCTATATTTGATTTATACCAAAAGTAGCAAAATTTACTAGTTAAGTTCAGTGTATTTCTTGCATTAGTTTGTAAGCTCCTAAGTTAGAATAATAGTATATTTTTAAGCATTTGTACGTTTGCTATATTGTCATGTTCGTTCGAACATCGAATATCTATTTTATAGGCTGAATCTGAGGTTGCCGCATTGAACCGTCGCATTCAACTGCTCGAAGAAGACTTGGAACGCTCTGAGGAGCGTCTGGGTTCCGCCACAGCCAAGCTGTCGGAAGCCTCTCAGGCCGCCGATGAGAGCGAACGGTTAGTACAATTTTCTGCTATATTTAAACCCTATGATTATATTTATTGTCAAATTGTATACATTAATAATAAGTCTACAGCATATGTAAGCAACTTAAGTATCCAGCTCAAGCTCTTATCTTCGGTATATTTATATTTAAAATGCCTCTTCTTACAATTGCTTTTGAAATTTAGGATACGAAAAGCGCTTGAAAATCGCACAAATATGGAAGATGACAAAGTAGCTCTATTGGAGAACCAATTAGCGCAAGCAAAATTAATTGCAGAAGAAGCTGATAAGAAATATGAAGAGGTATAGTTATCTATTGCTTTGAATTCAACTTTGAAAAAATCTTAGGGAATTAGGGTTAATAGGGTTATCTTCTCGTCGTTTTCTTTTCTATTCGTTTTACTTATTTTCTTCGTTTTGAGGTTAGGTGCGTCGAAATTACCGTTACTAATTAGGTTATGGGTTATATATACTGCGCTCTCTTACAGACTCCAAACATATATATGTTAAATAATTATAGGGTATATTTAAGAACGCTTAACCATTTGTAAACAGCATTTAGTCTTAAGCCCAACGCCGACCGCAGCCAACAACAACAACGACAGCATCAGCAAGAACAAAATGGATCCATTGGACTATGTATATTGTATATATTTATAAACCTCTACGTATATACACATTGTTATTTAATTATGGCATGTGTCTAGCTTATGGTAGTGTCTTAGTAAATCGCTGTTTAAATATCTAAATATCTGTTTACAACCAAAATATTGTTTGTATGTGAAAAAAGCTAAAACATTGCCTTGTGCCTTGAAACTGTGTAGAGAATATAGATTTGAGCTCATACACTTTCCTCAAAATACGCTTAGAGCTATATTTTAGTAATAAAAGAAAAACCGCAAAACACCTTCAATATACCTATAAATATGTAAAATACTACTTGAAGCCATTTATACACAATACATTTAACTCTGAAAAATAGCTCAACGGTTGCGCTATTTTATAGTAAAAAAAACTGAAATTGAAAAACTACACAAAGCACTGTTTCAGCTTCGTTTTATTATTTGTATCTTTTTTTTAATTAACTGAACTGTAAAACTCAACAAGCGAAAACAAATTTTTGTTTCTTTTTGCAAAATTCTCTAAATCTTGATCTGTACTATGGAACTTCACTAAAACAAAAAAACAAATCCGACAAAAAAAAACAAAACGAATCAAAACTTAATCTTTCAACATAATTTATGTTGTGTCTACCTGTGTGTACCACTGCGCATCCATGTGTTTGTCATACTCTACAACAACTTGACAACAACAACAACTCTACACTTTCTACACCGATGTGGATGCGATGACGTCGAATGATTCATAATATTTTGGGGCTGTACGCAACGACAAATCATCGATATAACAACTTGGTCACTGTCTTCTATGGGCATGGTCGCAACGTGGTCGTCCTATAATTGATCATACACTGATCCATATCTGTATCACTATATATACTATATATAGTGCACGCAAGATTCTTGAGAATCGCGCCCTTGCCGATGAAGAACGCATGGACGCTCTTGAGAATCAGCTGAAGGAAGCGCGTTTCCTTGCTGAGGAGGCTGACAAGAAATACGATGAGGTGCAGCTAAATACCAATTTAATTAATTTAAGCAATAATAACAACAACAGTAACAGTAACAGTAAATCATGTCACCCAATCGAAAACCCAACCAACAACAACAATAACAATGCAAATATTACTGCTGCTGCTGTTGGTGAAACTTCAACTTTGTCCTCCACAATTCCACACAGCGAACACAACAATAATGCCCACAAACCTAATGATACTTGATCCGTCCATTGATTTCTTTGCCAAACAAAATAAGTTTTATTCTCTTTCGATTTCGATTTTGGCCTTTAATGAGCCAGCAATGGAATTTGGCACAGGAATCAGCGATGGCAAATATTTATTGGTGCTGATATTGTAAAATTTGTGCTAAAGTCAATGCTAATGCTAATGATGATGATGATGATGATGATGATGTTAATTGAAGATAAAAGTGCAGCTAAAGCAATAAAAAGAAATGCTGGCATGCCGCTGCCTTAGCCGCCCGTTAAACGATTTACTTATAAATAATATTTACATATATACATGAATATATAATATGATATATATGTATAAATAAATTAACTTCTGTATTAGTTAATTCATTTTATTTATGTATATATATAAATATGTATGCTGAATATGATGTTTTTTTTAATATAACGTCTGAACAAAGTCCTTTGTGAAAAATAAATGAAATTGAAATGTAAATGTTTAAGCGAATCTAAACAAATTGTTAATGTACTCAAAACTGTGCTGGAAAGCAATAAAATAAAAATTGATATCTATGCATATGCATATATAATCATATCCCAAATCAAAGGAATATAGGAGCATATTATATTGGCCCTTTAAAAACTTTTAACTCTATATAAATATTTTGTCTATGCTATTGTATATCTTGTATGTAAATGATTTAGTTGGGCTTATTTTGGAATTTTCTATGTAAAAATTTAGAAACAAATGTAAATTGTGAAATGCAAAATGCAAATGTGTAAAGCGTAAGCAAATTCTAAAGAAAGAAAACAAGTTCACAGCTAATGCATATAAAGTTAATATGTAACACTTAATAAATTTAATTGAATTATAACATTTTTGCAATAAAGTTAACATCAACAAAAATGACTTAGATATATTATATATAATTATATTTAATCCTGAAGCGTTGGAGTTGTGCAGAAATTTCTTGGATTTCTCTTGAAGTTGTACATTATAAGGAGCAACCAGTTGGGATCCGACATTGAGCATAACTTGTAGTTGAAGTGGATGGTCAAAAGGCCAAAGATAATATATTATATATAGGTCTCGGGAATGCTAAATGAGAATTTCTTTTGTTTATAGGTTTTTGTAATAGGTTTTTCATATTATCGAAAACTTAAATAGAAATTGCTATAGATACAATTGATAACTTGCTGATTTTCCTAAACTTAATCACAGGCATAATCTCATATTAATATGAGATTTCTATGATATAATAATTATATAGGTAGACAGGCGCAACATGGATTAGCTCAACAGGCTTTTAGCTGCACACGATTGGGCATAAGCCGCAGCATTAATTTATTGTGTTAGCACATATGCTTTAAAGTTGTTGCTTACGTGTTTCGTACGTCAATCGAATCGGCTATATAAAGCAGGCTAAATTGATAAACTACAAAAAGACGATAAGCAAGCCTGGCTGGCTATCTATCAATCCATATACATATTGTGTTTCGCAGAAACTGTGAAACGGAAAGCAAAGGAAAACAAGAAAACGTTGACTGATAAGCGAAACGGGAAACTTCGTATGAAACTTATACCATCATGCCCCGTTAATTTGTATATTTAGCGCTCTTCGTCGGCTCATGACATAAGCAGCTGCAAAAAAAAGGGAAAGAAAGAAAAAGAGTGTTGCCAAACGCTTCGATGATGAATCAAAAATTCATTTGACCCAAGAGACTCACTGAATCACATATGTATGTGTATGTGAGTAAAGCACACGTTGCCAAAGTGTGTCTGTGTGTGTGTAAAGCCCCCGCTCTTCGTGTGGCTATGACTCACACCTACTTTGGCTGTCCAGGCGTATGCGTATGACTCTCTTAACGTTGAGGAGGGAGAGATGCGAACTCCAGGTACATCGATGCGTGTTGCATTTGGGTTTGCCGTTGAGATGTGCTGAATAATTTTAATTTATAATGAACCGTTCGCATTGCATTCATTTTATAATAATTTCGAACGTGCACAGGAAATTCAGCTTTGGTCAGCCTATAATTGGCATCCATAGAAGTAGCGCTGCCCGCTTATCAAAATTCACAGAGCCCACCAGCTGCGACTTCTGTCGTCCAAATTGGCAAACTTAATTTCCTCAGCAGGCCCGACTTTTTTTTATATTTTTTATTTTTTGGCGAAACATTCAATTTATCGGTTTTATAATTTGTAATCTAGGTTTTCGCTTGTTAGTCACAAACTCTTAATTGCCGAGCCAAAAATGACGGAAACCTTGTCGTTTCCGTTCTGTAACTGGCCAGAACTTTAAGGGAGCTATCAGATTTCTTAAGACCCAGGTTTTATCTAAGGAAACTTAAAGAAACTGAATTTAATTTCCGCTGAAAATGAAAAGTAAAAGGGAAAAAATGTTATATTGTAGGTAAAACTTTTCTGTTCCCAAGATGTACAACTGACATGGAGAAGAAACACAATTCCAAACGTTTTTTTGATCAAATATAAAAATATAAATTATGGTCATAAATATGAGTACATTATCAATTGAAAGATAGCTTAAAGTTCTTAAAGAAGCAACGACAAAAGCACAAATGATCAGCCAACAAAACAAACTACAAAAAAACACAAAATACATACACAGCAAAAATAAAATCACAAAATATTAACATTTTGTTTAATACTAATAAAAAAGAAAAGAAACCAAATCATAAACTGTAAATTCCATCAATCCTGTTGTTAATACTAACCGAATTATTGTTAGATAAATTGACATGAAATTTAACGCATTTTCTTTGTTCTGTGTGTATATTCGATGAACGATGACGATTGTAAAATTATGTACAAATATCAACAATATATATACACACACGCCATATATATAAATATCAATATGATAAAATGAAAGGTTGCCCGTAAATTGGCCATGGTTGAAGCTGATTTGGAGCGTGCCGAAGAACGTGCCGAACAGGGTGAAAAGTACGTTGAAAAACCATTTGTTTGAAATATCAGTTAAATGTTGCGCCAAAATGCTTTGAAAACTATTTTTGTTGTGCCTAAAAAAATTCAAATGAAACAGTGTGGCCATAGTTCTGTAAGTTTGTTTTTTGCAGCGCTGTTAACTAACAGTTGTTACCCATGTTAAAAACAGAGGATACCAACGCAACCTAACCCAATTCTCTTGCATAGTTTTCTCGTTTTATTTATTCCGTTATTTTATTTTTAGCTAGCTAGCTTGGCATTATATTTATATAAATATTTAAAATTGGCAAAAAATGTGAATATCTCGATCAAAATTAACGAATGTTTCTGTATGTGTGTATTTAACGCGCATGTGTCGTCTATCTTAGTTGTTGTAGAAGCATATCACTTCATGCTCTCTCATAATGCACAACATATTCACATTTTCGGCCAAAATGCAACTGCCAATACATTAATTGAACTAATTTGAAAAAAATTACCCTTTCTTATGCGCGCAATGCCTAACCACAAAATGCGTTACGTGTTGCTATGTCTGTGTTCTGTTTAATAAACCCGCCTGCCTGTTAATGCCTGCTCACCTGCTGACCGCCTGATCGCCCTCACCTGTGAAGGTGGCCAGAAAATTAGTGCTCATGGAACAGGATCTGGAACGTTCCGAGGAAAAAGTTGAGCTTAGCGAAAGGTTTGTCCTGCTTTATCTGTCTTTAAGTACTAACTGCACTTTCAACTATGCAATCGAATCGCCAGCCCAAAAATATTCACTGAAAATATTCAAAATGGAAAATCTTAATAAATACAATATTTGACTGTAAGGCAAAACTGTAAGAAAAGTGAAATCGTTTCAGTGAAATATTGTTGGCTTCAACAACAATTGCTGTTGTTATTATATTTTATTTATTTAAAAAATTTTGCTATGAGGCGAGAGACCTTCGTCTGGTTTGGCCAGTCATGATTTAGTTTCTTTCTTTCTGTTGTTATTTTTTCCTTCTTTTTTGACACTTCTGTCGCCTCCAGTGCCAAAGTTTTGAAAGTAAAGTGTCACATTTTTTTTCGGCTTTTATTTTTGGCGTTGGCGATAAAAAAAATTGCTCAAAAACTTAATTTAATTACCGCATGAGACGCGCACTTTGTTTTGTTTTTTTGTTTTCCCATCGAAAGTCCAATTGAAGACAATTTGTGTAAATCTTTGAAGCTAATTTGTGTTTTATTTTCTGATGTATAGCAAAATTGTGGAGCTTGAGGAGGAGCTGCGCGTTGTGGGCAACAACTTGAAATCCCTTGAGGTCTCTGAGGAGAAGGTCAGTATGAAATGTTACAAATCAGTCAAGATGATTGCTCACGATCGAAACAATCTATTTTTGATCATCAATAAAATATATATATTTTTGTATTATTTTTACAATAATTAATATGTAAATCCCACACCCCCATAAACAACAACAACAATAAATAGGCCAACCAACGTGAGGAAGAGTACAAGAACCAAATCAAGACCCTGAACACTCGTCTAAAGGAGGTAGATACAAAAAAATCAAAGCAAAACAAAAGAAATCTTTCAAACGAAAGGAGTTTCCCAGAGCTGTGGAAAATGCAATCAAAACCAACCAGCGATTTCTTGTTCATATATTATTATTGTTGTTGTTTGTTTGTTTTTTTTTTTTTTTCGAAATAATTTGAGCGCACAGGACCGCTCGAAGGTTTTCCAAAAGCCGTTGCACAACACTGGCCACGCGTGCATTCATATAAAATGTCTACCGACAACTCGTGCAACTTGTCCTTTAATATATGCCCTTAAAAACGTTTATTTGTTCTGATTTATGATTTGTGTACTAATTCTCATTATATTTTCTACTTTTATTTTCATATATTTGTTAACATGCTCCGCTTTAATGTTGCTGACACAAAATCAAAATACAATCGATTATTTTTGCGAATATATCTGTGACTGATATATAAACAAAAATGATTTGCGCACTGGATTTTTGATCAACACCACCTAAATGGCTTAAAATATGCTGTCCCCACCTCCCTGCCACGCCTCAAACTCTGCATGCATCAATAATTTGCTAAATAATTTTGCAATTTTTGTTTGCTTAACCCGCAAAACAATTTAATTTCCACCAATTCAACCAACGACCACAAAAAATAAATATATCTATGTTAAAAAAAAAAAAACAGGCTACACAAAAAGAGGAAACCTTTGAAACGCAAATCAAGGTTTTGGATCATGCCTTGAAAGAGGTATATGCCCACTTGTATACAATATATAATTTTAAAACAATATTTGTAAGCGGTTTGTGGTCTCTGGTGTTGGTACATCTATTAATTATCAAAAGCAATAAAAAAGAAAATATTAAATTGCACAAATCGTTATTCTCAATTTTAATTTAATTGTACATAGTCGTCACATTTGATATTTTCTTTTAAAAACAAAATAACAAAAACTAAAATACAAAATATGCAAGAGCAAACGCAATTGCCCAAACGTCTGGGAGAGAATACAACAAATCAAATCCAATTAAAAAAGAAAAGAAACCCTATTTAAGCAGTATCCAAAATGTATATCAATAGCGTGCATCACGGCAAGTATTTCCCTATACATACATATGTATAGGACGTGTGTGTGTACATTACTTGAAAATTGAAAAGAACTTTTTGTGCATTGAATGCAAATGATTAAAACAAAAAATGACGTTTTACAACACTACTGCTTGATAGTAGCAACTGTACCCAAAACAAACAAAACGACTTAAAAATTGAATTAATTCTATAATATTCGGTAGATATTTTATTGTCAAAGCACTTGCACATATTACAAACACACACACATACACACAGACACACGCACACACACACATACACTGCACACATAATGATGATAATGATAATGATTATGTTGTATGTCCTGCACTGTTATTGATATACCAAAAATTTGTTGTATATTTCTCGACGTCTAGGCACGCGAAAATCAAAAAATATTTGAACAGGAGCTCATTCAGTTCAAATTAAATGTAGAAACTGTAAGTCGCCGCAGCCTAAATAGTGTATATTTTTTTTAAATCATTTAAATTTGTGCTGATGTTAAAAAATCAATTTTAACAGCATTTCGAATTGGCGCCAAGTTTCGATTTTTCCTTATATTCAGTGACTGCGTAGCGTCGTACAGCGATTGTTGTAGTTGAATTAAATTAAATTAAATTATCAACACTCCCGTAAAAATGATTGTTTAATTTGTCAACTTTAGGTTTTGTCTAAACCAAATCACCCTAAATAAATATAAATATATATTAAAAAGAAAAAAAAAGTGTAAGCATATGGATTAAGTGATCAAAGTTGTGTTATCTTCTTAACTGTTATGCTGTTTATTTTGAATGTTTTATTTTACGAATTTTCGTTTATTTATAACACATCACAACTACATACATAAACACATAAATTTAATTTAATTAATAATATATCAACTATTAATATTTCATGTATTCATATAAATTATAATGTACTTATTCCGCTGGTTTTGGTAGCAAATTGTTTGGGAAGCTTCTTTTACGTTTATATGAATAAGCTTGATAATTGCAAATTCTATTGAAACGTAGCGTTTTACAACACTGGCATTTGAATAGAATTTGTATGTTAACCAATATGAATAATGCTTGAAGAAATTCATCCTGGTTAACTGTAGACGCTGCATTCATTAATATGTATTCATATAAATATTTCACTACTAATAACTGTATTTTCTCACTTTCTGTTTACCAACACTTAAAGGCTGAGGCACGCGCTGAATTCGCTGAACGTTCTGTTCAGAAATTGCAGAAGGAAGTCGACAGGCTCGAAGGTATGTCTGTTCAAGAATATTATCTTATATCTCTAAGACTTTAAAGTTCAGAGTTCTAGAAAAATTTCAAATAGTACAATTTCTTTATTATTATATTCAATATTATATGTAGCAGTATTTCAAATATACAAATTGTAGACTTTTTATAGAGAAGTTTATTTATTTTTTTTATATATATCTATATTTAAGTAGGTGCAAAATTAAGTTCCTTATTCCAAAACTCAATTTCCTTATGTTAGTCCAGATTTACATTTATTATTTCTATTTGTACTTAAATTTTTATTTTTATTTTCATGCCTATTAATATAACTATTTTAATGTTTATTTTTCATATGATTTTGTTCGTTGTTGTGCTTAACCGAAAAAAAAAAAAACCAAAACAAACAAAACAAAAACCAATTTCAACTTGTGTGCCGCTTGTACGCTCCCCGCCTGCTGAACCAACGCCAACGCCCTAATGTTTGTTGTTATTTTAAATGCATGCCACGTATTGCTGTGCTCTTTTTTGTTCCCCGTTTGTTATTGTTGAAACAAAAAAGACGACTTGTTGAACGAACGCGCCAAGAACAAACTGCTGCAGGAGGAGATGGAAAACACTTTACATGACATACAGAACATGTAAACAAATAATTTGCAGCTTATGTAAATGAACTAAACTGCCTGCTTTGACGTCAATACAGAAAACTGGCGCTTTCCATATTATTGTAATAGAAAACACAAACACATTCACACACACACACACGCATACTAAGGCACACAGGACAACGCCATGTGTCTTCCCATGCCGTTAAATTTTTGATAAACTTTTAAATGAAAACGTTAATAATTTTAAGCGGTAAACTCAAAGAAAAGCAGACAAGAAAGAAAAGAGAACTCGTAACAAACAAAAACAAAGAAGCAAAACTAAAACAAAAAGAAAAACATTTAAAACTGAAACAGAAGAATGTCTTCTGTTTCTATTGAGAGCATTCCAAATTTTCTATGAATCTATACATTCATGTTTTCAAGCAGTGCAAGCTGTTGGCCATTCGCTTGTCCGCGTTGCGCTGCGAATGGCATACACTTGATCGCTGTCCTTTGGAATGGCAATAAGTTATACAAGAATTAAAAAAAAATGGCGGCACTTTTAAACATTTGATGCTTTACAAAACTGTTGCAATATTTTGTTTAAACTTTTTCTTTCTATTTGCTTTTGCTAGCCCTTTTATTATTCTTCTACTCTTTGTTTTTGATATGGATCGAAGTAATTAATTATTATAGATGACAAAAGACACAACTTGCGAATTAGTTAATGTGTAATTATTTATACAAATGTATATGTAAAGTAACTGAAAAGGAAAGATTCGATTTGTACTTGTATTTGTATTCGTATTTTTGTCGCCAGCTAAACTACTGTATTAATTATGCTAATATATACATTGTTTATACAATTTAAACAAATCGTGTTTGCAGAACGTTGTGTAATATTTGCTTACTTATAAGTTGCCACGCCTATTTTGTAGACACAAATTCAAAGCAAATACCGAAATAAACAAAAGACAAAACACTATCAAATGACACGCACACCATTCCAATTGCAAGCATTCATAATTAGACAGCTATTGTTAACTTTCTATATTTTATTTTAAATTAAAAATATTAAATTTAAAAGTCCCTGTTTTCTATGCGCTATCTTTGCTGAAAATGTGTTCTTGCCCCAATAAAAGAGCAAGCTAAAATGAAAATGAACCTAACATAAAATGGCATTAAATGAGACATCAAAAACAAAATGAAAATGAAAAAACAAAAAAATTGATTTATTTACGATTTACATAAATTAATTATTTATATTTTTAATATATACATACATATATATTACATACTATGCAAATACAATACCATGCTGCTGCAATTGCACAAATAAAGTATTTTTCAAAAAAGAACAAATATCTCTGGTGGTAAATGAAATACCAAGACCTATGACAGACGGACTATTTTTCGTTGTACTAACTAACCCAAGAATGAACTGTTTCAGCCAATTGTTGTCTTTGTTGTTGTGAAGATTGTGCTCCCACACAGAATTGGCTTCTTGGATTCCAGAGTTAACTAGCCATAACCAGAGCTGCCAATATTTGCACTAATCAAGATATTTTTTCAATTCTAATAACACTAACTAACCAAAATGAACTGACCAACTAAATTACCAAACCACCGCCACCAGACGAGATGATCAACGAGAAAGAGCACTATGCGATCATTAACGATAGCTTGGACTTTACGTTCGTCGAGCTAATGGGCATGCCGCCGTTCTATAACGATCGCTACCCCAAGCCGCCCACGCCCGAGCTAACCGAAGAGGAGATCGCTGCCATTGCGGCGCAGCGGGAGGCAGCGGCTGCTGCCAAGGCAGCCAAGCTCGCTGCCGAAGAAGCGGCCGAGGGCGCAGGCGAAGGGGAGGGTGCGGAGATCGAAGCTGCTGCAGTCGATGGAGCCGCCGAAGCAGCAGCTGCTGCCGAAGTTGTTGAGGAGCCAGTGAGAGTGCCCACACCACCACCGCCGCCGCCATTTGATTACAATATTGATCTGCCGCCAGAGGGCGCTGAAGTGCCATATGTAAAGAACTTCGAAGTGGGCGATGCTCCGCCAGCAGCTCCTGCAGATGCAGCACCAACCGAGGGCGCACCTGTAGAGGGCGTGCCTGCTGAAGCAGCTCCAGTGGATGCAGCTCCTGCAGATGCAGCTCCTGCAGATGCAGCTCCTGCTGACGCAGCTCCTGCTGAAGCAGCCCCTGCAGAGGCGGCTCCTCCAGCTGCCGAAGCAGCTCCTGCTGAAGCACCTGCTGCCGAAGCTCCTGCTGCTGATGCAGCTGCTGGTGAAGCGCCTCCTGCTTAAATGGCATCGAATTTGATTTCATTTGATAAAGTAGTTAACAAATTATGTAAATAGATCAAAAAGGATCTCGTTATGGCTAAAACTAATTATGGATTGTGTTTTCCTGTTCGTCGAATGCACGATCATTAACCTGATTCACAAGCGACCACGCCCTCCCAACCATTCGCCCGACTTGCCCACTAACCCGCTGCTTAGGAAAGCATTTAATAATTAGTTAGCTTCGCTTATGCTTCCTTTTCACTATTGCTATCTCCATGCCTCTATCTCTCTATCTCTATCTCTCTCTATTGCTTTATCTCTCACCCGACTGCTTGTGTTGCTTGCTTTCTGCCATCGCGTTCGCATGCCAAACATCTCAGACGACCTAATCGTTGAAAAAGAGCGCTACTGCCTCATCGGCGACAGTCTCGACGAGGCGTTCCTGGACCTGATCAAGGGCCTAGAGCCATTCTGGACGCCGCGCAATCCGAAACCACCCACACCCAAGCTGCCGACGCCCACGCCCGAAGAGCTGGCCGCCATGGAGGAGGCCAGAGCTGCGGCAGAGGCGGAGGCCGCTGCTGCTGCAGCTGCAGCGGCGGCTGCGGCTGGCGAGGAGGGTGCCGAGGGAGCTGTTGTCACAGAGGCTGGTGTCCCAGTGGCAAAGGAGCCAACTCCACCACCAAAGGAACCTACTCCACCACCACCACCACCACCACCATTCGAATACTCGATCGACTTGCCGCCAGAGGGCGCTGAAGTGCCGTTCGTTAAGAACTATGAGCCACCACCACCCGGCTCTGAGCCAGAGCCAGCTCCAGAGGGTGAAGCCGCAGCACCACCAGCTGAGGGGGCTGCCCCACCGGCTGAGGGAGCTGCACCACCTGCTGAGGGCGCGGCCCCCGCAGCTGAGGGTGCGGCTCCACCGGCCGAGGGTGCTGCTCCACCAGCTGACGCTGCTGCACCACCAGCTGAAGGAGCTGCGCCAGCGGCCGAAGCACCAGCTGCCCCACCGGCAGAAGAGGCTGCACCGGCACCAGCTGCTGAAGCTGCTGCGCCAGCTGCCGAGGCCGCTGCACCAGCCGCTGAGGCCGAGGCGCCGCCAGCCTAAATCAACGAAGCTCGCTATCGTTATCTTTACCGATAGCGATAACGATAAATGCCCCGCAATTCGCTGCGCAAGACATACAACCGCTACAAACTGCTGCCCTGCTTTTATTTGTTTATTATTTGATGCACAACAAAAACTGTTATTCATATTAATTAAAACAATCTAATCGAAGCAAAGCAAAAACAAAAGAAAACACGCTGCTTGGCTGAGTTTTGTTTTGAGCTCTTGTTGTTTGCCTGTTGCATTTTATTTTTGATTTTGAATTTAACAGCTAGCGACGCACTGCATTACCGACCACAAACGCTGCCGCCGACAAGCAGTGCCACTGCCGTTACTTTTTATTTATTTTTATTTACAGAGGTAAATATATTCAGTTGATTTTATTTGTTGTCCAGATTGGATTATAATCCATTATAGTGTCAGTCTCAATGTTTTTATGTAAAAGGTTTCTTTTTCTATGTTATGTGAGGGGCTTATCAATATTTATTTGTGTACTTGATTTAAGTATATTTTCATTTTTATTAATTTCAAATATTTTGTTTTGTGTATTTTCTTTACTCTTCTGTGTTCGCTTATGATTTGACAACAATGAACAGACGACCTTGTCCTGGAGAAGGAGCGCTACAAGGATATCGGCGACGATCTCGATACCGCCTTTGTCGAGCTCATCCTCAAGGAATAAGCGCTGCTCCATTGCCCGCCTCCAAGAGCTCCACCAAAGTCTATCTACACATATTTTTCTGCACATTTCTTGTTTATGTATCTCGTAGCATACTCGTAGGTGTTCTATGTAAACGTGTATTGCCTGTGTAGTTAAAGTAAATGTATTTAGATTTTGTTAAAAGCCTTCATTAAATTATATGTGACAAACGCATTGTGTATTTGTTTAACTCAATTTTATTTAATTATCATTTGTATTCACAATCTACTATGCAATAAACTAAAAAACTATATACAAATGATTACGTCTTTTCTATTATTGTTATTATTATATTTATTCGACTGCTGCACTCGTAGATGAGGTGAGCAAAGGTAAGGAGAAGTACAAAAGCATTGCCCAGGAGCTGGAATACGCCGACCTCAACAACTATTGAGCTGATGAGAGATGACCAATTGGAGTCCAGTGGAGCCTTCGACATCCAGCTACAAAAACGTTCTACTTAAGCATTCCCACATTAAAAATAAAACAAATTTTTAGCGATAAAATATATAATTATATATGAATCATATTTAAATTGGATATTTGTATGAAATAGCTTGACTCAACAGAAAATACTGCCTGTAAACCTAAGGGTTGCAAGTTAAATGAAGTTCAGCCTCAGCCACAGATCACTTATTTATATTTCTCAATATATCTGAAGCCCACCAGTCAATAGCTTATATATGTAATACCTTAGCTTCACATACTGCACACACATACTTTTCTTTTTTATACAAAATTCGGTAAATTTTTTAATAAATCAAATGGAATCTATGCTTGCAAGCTAGTTGGCAAATGTATCTAAAATTAGTTGAAAATTTCTATGGCCTTTGCAAATAAATTGAGATGTATAAGAAAATTCCAAAACCAATATTAATAAAATTTACACATTCATAGCTTTTGTAATTGTGAAACATACAAATTCAATATGTACAAGTATTTTTAAAAATCTAAACATTCTCAGTTATTAAGCGTTTATATTTTTATGACAAATAAATGGAAAAACAAATTCTTTTGCATAAAAATATGAAAACAAATGACTTTTGATTGGATATTGATGGGAAGTTTACCGCATTGAGTTTACAGTGTTGCATAATGGTTCCAGTTCGATGGCCCAATGTAAGTAAGTTTAAAGTTCTGTCATATGGGAGTTCCTTGTCTTGTTTTCCTTATTGTAGCAAATGATTCAGTGATCGTAAGTGGAAGATGCGGAGATAGATCCTAGATTGCAATGGTTCGGAAGCTAGGATTGGAATTTGTGCTATGAACAGGGTATATGTTTTTAATAACATATGGCAAAGTGGAGGAGGAGAATAACAATAAAAGATAAATAAATAGATATATATATAAAATGATTTAATTTAATAGAAGTCTTTTGGCTATAACTTCGCCCACTATATAGGCGTAGTTATGCTTGAGAAAAAGGTTCAACTACATAGGTATGCACAAGGTGGACCTCGTGGTTGATTTTTGGTGGGGCGAAATAAATGAAACGTAATTGTAACGATTAAGTAATTATTTTTACTCCTGTGCTAGACCTGTCTTTTTATACCCTGAACCCATTGAAAATGGGAAATCAGGGTATAATGGTTTTGTTGAAATGTATGTAACAGGCAGAAGGAGGCGTGGCAGACCCCACAAAGTATAT